AGTCACTTAGGCACGATTCAATGACGTAATTACGTATTAAACTCGCATTAACCAACAAAACCATCCAGGTATATCTAAATCTACTACAACTTTAATCAAAATCATTTAGCTACTTATAAGTAGTTCACTTGATCCAACGTAGTTTTTGTCACCCTACAAGGTTTGAATGGTTATTAATTTTATTTTCCTTTGGGTTCCTGGTGGGACATACGGCTTCAATAGCACGCGTACAATGCACTCCATCCTCTGTAGTCTTTCCAACCTGGCTCCGCCACTGCCCAAAAGTTTACATTTCTTCCTCAAATGTTCTCGTCCATCTCACTCTCAGCTGGGACGCCTAACTCGTCGTTTCCCCTTTGGCTTCCACTCCACGACCTGACCTGGCTTGACGCGTCATGTCCCCGAATGGCCTTCTCAGTGCATTTTTAGTCTAATCCATCTCCACTTTATTCTACTTCATATTTGTCGGGTAATAGGTTGTTGGTTGGTTCGTTGCCCGGCCAGAGTTCCTTCTTGCTTATTCTCATTATTCTGTCCATCTGATCTGATCTTCATTATCGAGTGACCGTAGGCAGTTGTTGATGGATATCTGTAGTTTGTTGGAAGTGTTTTTCATGACGCGCCAAGTTTCTGAACCATATAGCAGTACTGAATGACTTTACTAAATTAGTGCTGAAAATCCGAATGTTGTTGACGCTTTATGCTGAGTGCAAGAGATCTTCCTACGTATTTCAGATTAATGAAAGCCTGTCTTGCTTCTCCGACCCAGGTTTTCACATCCTCTTCTGTGCCGTTCGTAGTTGTAACGATGCTGCCTGTCTAGATAGGTGGAAGAGAAAACTTACTTCACATTCCTCCCGTCCATGTTGCTTGTTGTTTGAGTTGTTGTTGGTCGGGTAGCTTCATTACCTCTGTCTTCTCCACGTTCACTTGAAGTCCCATCTTCACTGCCACTTCTATCAACCTGTTAGTTTTCGCTTGTAGATCTTCGAGCTTGTGTGACATTAGACACGTCATCGGCAAAATCCAAATCTTTTAGGCTGTTTCCATCGGTTCAGCTAGCGTATGCCCATCTTCTCATAGCTCCTCACAGTTTCTTGCATGATCCGTTCCACTCCAGTCCAGTCGACTATACTAAGGAAGATGATCGGGGATGGTAGGTGGTAACCTTGTCTTACTCCTATCCCCTGTCTTCTCCTCAAAGGTATCACTGAGCTTTCTGTTATGAATAACTTAGCGTGAAGCATCATATAGCACATAGCTGTTGGGTGAGTTTGATAAAGGTTTGTGGCACTCCGTAGTAGCTGCCAAATTAATTTCCACTCGCACTGTCGATGGCCTTTTCAAAGTGGATGAAGTTGAGGTAGAGAGTTCAATGCCATCCTATGCTCTCTACTATGATGATGAGTAGCGTAGCATTACAGTTTGATCCACACATGATTTCTTCTTCATGTGAGCATATCCACTGATATGTCTGCGTCTGTTTTCAGTGCTTGTGACGGAATCCCATCTGGTCCTGATGCTCTCATGGATTTCAGCAACTTTATGACCTTCAGGAATTCTGCTTGTGTTCATTGATAGTTCTATGGCTATACTGCTGGTGGTATTCCTGGACGAGTTGCAGGTGGTGGTGGTGGTGGTCGATTCAAGAGTTTTCTGAAGTGATCACCCAATCGTTTCCTTCTTTTCTCCTCTTTGGTAATTAAGTTTCCTTCACTATCTTTCATTCCCTTCATCTGTGTTGATCTCTTCTCAGATAGTAGTAGTAGCCTGATTATTTGATATAATGTTGTCAGGTTTCTGTCTCTCCTACCAGCAGCCTGTTCTGCTTCACTTGTAAGCGTGTCATAGAAGTGTCTTTTTTCTCTTCGTGCACTCTTCTTCACTTCTTTGTCCAGTGTAGTATTTTATAAGTTGTATTTAGTTCCTCTTTTCCTTGTGCATCTTTGTATTGGTTCGTCTTCTGCTTCACCATCTTCCTCCTCCTCCTCTATCAGCTTCCATGTATCTGTCGAGATCCATTCCTTGTCTTGCCTCTTCCTCTTCCTTCCTAATACGGTTATGCAGGTTTCTTTCCACATCCCTTTCAAAGAGTTCCAGTGTTCCTCCACACAGGTTTCTTCAGTTATGTTGCTCAATGTCTCACACTTTCTTCTAATGGCTGATGTGAAGATGTCGTTTTCAGTTTCATCCTTCAGTTCAGTTTCTATTCTGGGTGTTGAACTTGAACTATGGTCTATCACCAACTTCCTTGAACACTTTCAACTTGATTTTAAATATAGGTTCATTGTACTAGATAATGAGTGATGTGAACCTACATCTGCTCCTCTTCTTGATCTTATCTTGTATCCAGTAGGCTGACTGCGTCTCCACTTTCTTCAGATTGGAATGAAGTCGATCTGATTTCTAGTGTAGTTTGTCCATCTGGTGAAATCAAATCCATATCACTTTGTGAATATCCTTGTGTTTGTACACATCGCCTCCAATCACTAATTCAATGAAGGCGCAGAATTCTGCAATCAGTTCTCCATTCTCATTCATTTCACCGAGTACTTCTCGACCCATCATGTGTTCTCTTCCTGTGTTGTGCGCTCCCAGTTTTGCATTCATGTCACCCATTAAAATGAGTTTCGATGTGGCCATCTAGGGTGTTGTGTTTTCCATTGGTGATTGAAGTTATCTGTAGAATTCCTCCATCTTCTCTTCATCTGCATTATTTGTAGGTGCGTAGCATTGTACGATTGTGACTTTCCTTCCTTTTGAGTTGAACCTTACTGTCATGATCCTGGTCGTTGGGATGATTGGTTCCCAGTGCATGAGAGCCTTCGATGCTCTTGGAGACATTATGATAGCCACTCCGCGAGTGTGCTCATGGTTGTCGTCTGGGTGATAGTATCGGAGTAGATTATTGACTCCTCTCCAGTTGATAGTTTGGAGAGTCCACTTACATTCCACCTGCCTTCACAGATTCCTAGCACTTCAATACTATACTTTCTCATCTCCTTTGCAATCTAGGCAGCCTTGCTAGGTTCAGACAAAGTGCAAAGATTCCATATCTCCATTTACACTTTAGCTTTTATCGAGGGAGAGAAAACACATTGGCCAATAGGCTTCCTGAAGGCTTTCGCCAACCGGCGTCATTTTGTCTCTCCGATTCCAGCGAGGAATAAGTTTGTTTATATTTTTTAGAAAATTTCTTTTAGCTTTGAAGTTTCTTTAGCGATTGGATTGATTTCACGGGGTTAGGGTCGTTAGCCCTATGTCCAACCTTCCCTGTTTATCCGGGCTTAGGACGGCCGGCTAGTTACCAGTAAACTAGTTAACCAGGGGAGGTTCATAGATTGAGTACTACAATAAAAATCACCTATCTAGCAGACAACTTAGTTTGTGTGCATCAGATCAAATGCTCATTGAGACAGTCGAACACTAACAAATTATCAACCCTGGTTACCTCCAACTGTATCTACCATCTCACATGTAGTCACCAAATCATATACATCGAAAGAACACAGAGAAGGTTTGTTGTCGACATTACAGAACATATCTCGAAGAGTCTGAATCTCGGGGTTTAAATGATGCAATCGCTCGGGATTCTCTGAAGCATTTCCCATTAAAAGACTCAAAGCTGATTTAAACTATTCACAAAGATACTGTTATCAATTTTGTATTACCCTGGGTTAATTTTAATGTCCTACAATTGTAAGTACATCATTTCAGGAGCTCATCACCCTCAGTTCTTTTTCCATTTTATTTTTCAATCTATTTCGAAACCTATTCTCACTTTCTTCTGAGTTGACCTTTAACTACACTTACTTGGAGCATGACGTCCTTCTTGAGTGACAGTAAAGACCAGTCAAGCAACTGTTGGAACAACCAATTATGGCTGTGTATTTCATGAAAATGTATGTTCATAGCCAAGATACTGAAACGTGATTGGTTGTTCCGAAATTTGTTAAGGTAAACATGAATGTCACTCTCCTCTGCACTAATTCTACAATCACATTGTGCACAACCCACCTCCCTTCCATTTATGTGTGTTTTGATAGACATAATCTTCTCTCAGATGTTCATTTTCTCATTGTGTAGATGATTAATCTTTGACTCGTCTTAACAACTTCATCAATGTTAGTCAACTGATATGTTTGTCGCTTTCCTTGTGAATTCGTACCATTGTGTCGATTTATTTAAAGTATGTTATATAACATTATTCATATATGTTGTGAAGCAGCTGATGAGGATGGACGAAATGCATGAATGTTAATTCTTCTACACTATTGTTCTTCATGCTTTATTCAGAAGTAAACTACTTACAAATGCATATAATATATGTATGTATGTATGTTTGTATATGTGTATGTGTGTGTGTAGATGAAAAACTCATCTCGTACACGAAATTCGAATTCTGATTGGCTAAAAAATCTGTCCAAATAGCATAGTGCGTATATTCACGATGTTCCATTAGAAACTGGTTCAATTTTTTTTAAAATTTTTTTAGCAAATAATAATCAGTGTAACCAATCTACATTGAAATCTGTTTATATGACACATAGAATACACATACACGTACTGATATAATTCTTTCCAATATTCAATGAAATATAATATTATCTTATCTTGTGAATGAGTATTCATTGGACAATATATATGTATACCTGTGTGCATTAATGTTGAGCATAACAACGCAATAGTGACTGTAACTCTGAGATCATTATAACGCCAACTTAATGATTGTGTAATGCAACCACTAAAATCCTGAGAACCTAATTTATTTACTTTTTTTTAAAAAAAAATGTTTATCCTACGTTACTTATCACAACCAGTAAATTTGATAGTGAACAAATGTGAATAATTGTTTGGTTATCAAGATGACCTTGACGCTGAATTCAAATCAACCCGCGGAATTATAAAAGTTATATAAAACACGTTTTTAACTACTATACTTATATTATTGTGGATAATTTAATTAATTTTATTTAAACAACCGTGAATTATGTCATATAATGGTGAGTTAACGATGAAGTAATAATAATGGTTATTATTTATCCCTTGGGTTCCTAATGGAACATGGGGCTTCAGTAGTACGTCTTCAGTGCAGTCTATTCTCTGCAAACTTTTGAACCTGGTTCCATGATAGGCCAGAAGCTTTCATTTCTCCCTGACATGATCTCCTCCATGTCACTCTCACCTCTGACGCCCTCTCACAACTCGTCATTTCCCATCTAGGTTCCACTCGAGTGCCTGGCCTGGCGCGTGATGTCCCCAGTCAGCCTTCTCAGTATATGCCCAATCCATCTCCACTTTGAAGTAATAAAATTACATGTGAAAATTATTTTAGAAAATAATAATATCCATTAGGGATCGATTATGGGTCAGAGAGTAATTTGAAACGTTGAACATTCAATATTCTAGGTTTTCAATATTTTTTCGGTTAATATGCATTCTGTGGAAAGATTATAATAGTCATGGTCGTTACCTAGTCCTTATGAAAACAACATTGCGTGTAAGCTTCATGAATCAATAATACATTAGACATTGACTGGAAGGAATGAACAGGATGACTCTCTTGTGTTTAAATTAATTTGATCTGACTAGTAAATATTATTAATTTATGTCATTCGTTCCCAACTACTTATATCAGCTAGTAGTATGTATACAGTGGAGTTTTTCTCGTTCCATTTTTGATGGGAGTTATGATTTTCAAAGTGGTGATATGTCATGTTTATTCAGTCGGATTGTCCCTCCACATCAAAATGTTTCATTTTTACTATGAATTGAAGATCTTGCAAATACTTGCTTGAAATTCATCAGTATTCTATTCAAACACAGTACTTGTCTCTGGTTCAACACCGTCACAAATACACCATCATCTCGCCTTCTATGAACCTATCACCTACCATCATTCGGATATTGAGTATGAGTCAGTCAACTGGTGAAGTGGAGTGACCACATCATTCACTGTCATTAGTAGATGTCCGTGCTTCCCCCCTCCCCTCCCAGCACCACAGTGTTTAATTTCACAGAACATCACTTCCCATAGTATTCAACTGTGTTGCTGGTCAGGTATCACTCCATAACCATAAAATTTGTAACCGACTTGAAATAGTTTCATTGTTTATTTTCTATAAGCCAGCTATGATAATCGAGGTGCACATTTTGTCTTGCTAAGAGCTCTTCATCTGCTGTGTATACTTCAGCCTAGTATGTTGATGTCCCCACCGGGAACCGAATACATAACCCTTCCGACAGTTTGCTATTCACTAGGCTGTTTAGTAGGGATAATTACACCTTGTTCAATAAGTATCAATTTGTCAAAGGAAATTTCTATCCCTCTCATTTGTTATTTGTTGAATTGCAGTAATTACCTTCTGGTAGTATTCTTATTTATTTTATTTGTCCCTTGGGTGCCTAGTGGAACAAATGGTTCCAGTTGCACGTCTCCACTTCACCCTCTTCTCTCCAGTCCTTCCAACATAACTCCACCACCGCCCACAAGCTTTCATTTCCTCATCACACAATCTCCTACATATCACCATCGACTCAGACGCCCAACTCGTCGTTTCCCCTTTGGCTACCACTCGTCAGCCTGTCTAGCCTGGTACGTGATGTCCCCAATCGGTCTTCTCATTCTATATTCAATCCAACCCAATCCACCTCCACTCTCTCCTACTCTATATTTGTTGGGCAGTGGGTTCTTGGTTGGTTCGTTACCAGCCAGCCAGCCAGAGACCCTCCCTAAATATTCCTATTATCTAGGCCATCTGATCTTCAGTGTCAGTATCGAGTGAGTGTAGGCAGCAGCTGTTCACCTAAATCTGTAGTTCGTTGGGAAAACTTTTTCTAACGCACCAAGTTTCTCAACCATCACATAGAAGCATTGACTGACTTGACTGAATTAGTGTTCGAAATCCAGATCATGTTCGAACGCTTTATGCTGAGTGCAGTGCTGTAGATCTCCACACTGATCGATTTCAGATTAATGTAGGAAGGCGTGTCTTGTTGTCTTTCCAATCGTGACTTTGACATCCTGATCTGTGTCGCTGCCTATAGTTGATACGATACTGTCTACCTAGGTAGGTGAAACAGACAGCTTCCTTTGAATTTCTCCTATTGATAGTGATTGGTGCTTGTTGTCTAGGTTGTTGTTGTTGGTTGGGTATCTTCATCACCTTCGTCTTCTCTACGTTCACTTGAAGTCCCATCTTCATCGCCTCTTCTGTCAACCTGTTAGTTATAGCTTGTAGATCTTCGAGTTTGTGCGACATAAGACATTAGACATAAATTATTGGCGAAATCCAAATCTTCTTCTGGGGTCTCTTGTGTAGGTCCAGTTAGCGTATGCCCCTCTTCTCACAGCTCCCCAAAGTCTGTTGCATGATCCAGTCGAGTCTAGTCGACCACAATAAGGAAGATCAATGGTGATAGTTGGTCTTGTCTTACTCCTGTCTTCACTTCAATGGCGTGAAATGTGTATTATTACATCTTATTGAAAGAATAAAATGTCAATACCATTTCCCCTGTCTAGTCAGTATATGGTAAATTATTATAATATTCCTTTCAAATAGTTTTTTCAGCCTACCGGTCAGTGAATAATCGATTGTTTTAATGCATTAAAACGCTAAGTTTTGTGTACTACACATTCTTTATAATTGGCAGTAGATTTAAACTGATGGTTTTACACTTTAGTATCATCTTTATTGAAAGAAAGATTACCAATTCCCTAGAAGTTGTAAGTGTTTTTTCTACAAACTGATGCCTGTGATGCGGCCTAGATTTCACGTATTTCATTAAAACTGTATGCTAACAGAAGATACCTGACCAACAACAACAACAACAAGCAGCAAGCATCATGGATGGGAGAAATGTGAAGTAAGTTTTCTCTTCCACCTACCTACACTGGACAGCATCGTATCAACTACAGGCAGCGACACAGATCAGGATGTTAAAGCCAAGATTGGAAAGACACCAAGACACACCTTCCTGCATTAATCTGAAATCGATCAGTGTGGAGACCTACAGCACTGCACTGCACTGCACTCAGCATAAAGCGTTCGAACATGATCCGGATTTCGAACACTAATTCAGTCAAGTCAGTCAATGCTTCTATGTGATGGTTGAGAGACCTGGCGAGTTACGAAAGCATTTCCAACAAACTACAAACATACATCATCAACAGTTGCCGCCTACACTCACTCGATACTGATACTGAAGATCACGTGACCAGGATAAAAAGAATATGCAAGGAGGATCTCTGACTGGCTGGCTGGCTGGCTGGCTGGCTGGCTGGCTGGCTGGCTGGCTGGCTGGCTGGCTGGCTGGCTGGCTGGCTGGCTGGCTGGCTGGCTGGCTGGCTGGCTGGCTGGCTGGCTGGCTGGCTGGCTGGCTGGTAACGAACTAACCAAGAACCCATTGCCCAACAAATATGGAGTAGAAGAGAGTGGAGATGGATTAGACTAGACATACACTGAGAAAGCCATCCGAGGACATCACGCGTCAATCCAGATCAGGCCGTCGAGTGGAAGCCAAAGGGGAAACGACGAGTTGGGCGTCTGAGTCGAGGGTGATATGTAGGAGACTGTGTGATGAAGAAACGAAAGCTTGTGGGCAGTGGCGGAGTTATGTGGTAAAGACTGGAGAGAAGAGGGTGAAGTGGAGACGTGCAACTGAAGCCATTTATTCTACTAGGCACCCAAGGGACAAATAGTAGTAATAATAATAGATAACACACATTTGGCCGAAGATTTCCTCGATTTGGAAGTATGACCTGATCGTTGACAGAAACGAAATCATAGGCCCGATATGCTGTCAACTGAGATATAAAATCTAACTGTCATCCTATTTGTCTGCAGTAGTTGAAGTTATCATGGATAGGCGTAGTTACTTTCAATATGCATTTACCCAATTATTATTGATTAGTTAAGTGTTGTCTGCCAATCAATACTGGATAATAATGATGAAAATCAATGGGATCCTACCTTCAAGCGAGTAATCTTGTCACCATTGAAAATCAGACTTCACATACATTACTTCATTATTATTATTATTATTATTAGTCCCTTGGGTTCCTAGTGGAACATAGGGCTTCAGTAGCACGCCTCCAGTGACCTCTGTTCTCTGAGATCTTTTGAACCTGGTCCCACGACAGCCCACAAGCTCTCATTTCCTCCTCGCACGACCTCCTCCATGTCACCCTTGGACGTCCAACTCATCGCTTCCCATGGGGATTCCACTCGAGGGCCTGATGCGTGACGTCCTCAGTCGGCCTTCTCAGTGCATGGCCAATCCATCTCCACTTCTTCCTGCATATTTGTTGCGTGATAGGTTCTTGGTTGGTTCGTTCCCAGAGTTCCTTGTTGCTTATTCTTTCTGGCCATCTGATCTCCAGTAGCGAGCGTAAGCAGTTGTTGATGAATGTCTGTAGTTTATTGTACATTACTTCAAATGCCTGAGAATTATTCGGTAGGCGATTGAGTTATGTACTCACTCTTTAGGGGACATATATAGTATGTCATTATGGCTTGTATTTTGGAACGAACTGACCGGCATATGAACTCCTGTATGGTGATTCCTCAATACTGCCTGTGATCATGAAGAGTGACTAGTAGAAAAATCTAGAACATGCGCTTCATGGCATTTGGGACTCGTCAGTTCGATGTACCTGGTTCTCAATGAGTATTGCTGTTCTTACTGGGATTCCAGCCCAGGACTCTTTACTTCGAACACCAGAAAATAATCCACTAGGCGTTATTCAGTATGCTACTGTGTTATATAGACACTCGTTATATGACATGCATAGTATAAGCCCATGGCTTATAGTTTCCTGTAACATGAACTCCTATGTGAATGTCTCAATAATGTTGGTGATTTTAGTTGAATGCTGATGATGGAAATGCCGATATTGACAGATCATTTCGTTACAGTCAGTTAGCCAGTGGTGGTGTGTGTATATGTGTGAGAGAGAGAGAGAACTACATTACACCACTGGAGTATTCAACATGTTTAACTA